CTCTGCAACCCACCCTGGCTGTCTGTAGGCCACATTGTGAAACAGGCATGTGACATTTTAGCATGTGACATCTTTATTTTTCATATTATGGGCTTAATCTTCTAAGCAAAATTACCCAGAGATGTAAAAATTCCCCAGAGAACTAGATAGCAAAAAGAGAAACAGAGGCCCTTAAGCCACTTCCTACCCTCAGTCCATTCCCAGGTACAAATAGTGACAGTGAGTGTGAATTATTAAAAAGATTAAGAGTTCATCAGCAGAGTGAAAGAAGATTTTTTTTTTTGAAAAGAAATCTAATACAGTCCTGAGTTTTGATTGCTTTATTTAAGTCCTGACATCCAGGGAACCTCAGAGAAGCCCTGGCCCGGGATCCCACCTGGCCAGCAATGAGCAGAGCTCCTGGACTATTCCAGCTCCAGGGCCCAGGACTCAGGCTTTGCAGAGGAAGAAGGGCAAGAGCATTGCTTGGAGCTCACGGCTGCCCACAGCAGAGCTTAGCTTAAGTCCCCAGGACAGGGCCATGAGGACTCGTAGCCCCGACCACCCGTTCTGGAGCTCAGGTGATGGGAAGGTCATCCTAACTGAAACCGCACGGGGTTTCAGCTGTGGAAACTGCTGGATCCTTTCTCCTTCCTCCCACCTCCTTTCTCTGCTTACACACATGCAACGTTCCCTCCTTTTATTTAAGCAAACAACTCTCTCCATGATTAAGTACAGCCCTTCTTATCTAAATAGTCCACAGATGGATACAGACACAGGCGCTTTTGGCTCCTATTCGGAGCTGGTTCTGGTACCCGTCTTCTCCAAACCTTCAAAAAGCAGCCTTCCCGAGCCTGCGCTGACAGAAAAGCCTCACTCCTGTTCTCCCAGTGAGTCAGCTTGCAGGGTAGGCTGTCCTCGATTCATCAAAGGGGTGGGATTTCCCCTCCAAAATACTTGAGATTTCCACCACCCGCCACCCCTTTTCTTGGCCTCTCCCAAACCCTGAGCTTGAAACTGCCCAGATGTGGGCAATGCAACATGCAGAGTTCCGATTCTGTTGTCAAATTCCAATATTACTTTAGCTGTCGAGGTAAATACCACCAGTTGGTTTAACTCCAACGATCCCTGGTGGTCCAGGGCTGGGGGCTGGGTTGCTAATAGTTGTTTGAGTGAGGAAAGAAATGAAAGGAAGGAATTTGAGTTTCCGGAGTAAGGGGAGTCTGAGGGGAAAGTATCAGCCTTCAAGGCCTGGGACAGAAGTGAAGTCTAACTGTGGACTCACAGCGTTGGCCACCCCCTATGCGTATCTAACTGCCACTCTCCCACGGTTTCTTTCGGACCCAAAGCATTGTTAATTTGCTGAGTCCTGAGGACATGGGCTTCACGTAGGGTCCCTGAGGGGGCATTACCACTGATCCCAGGCTGCCCTTCTCACATATCCTTTCCAGCCTCACTACTCAAAGTGTGTTCTGCGGACCAGCAGCGTCAGCCCCGCCCACGTCAGCCCTGCACCTCACCCTGGGGCCAATCAGAAACACAGAGTCCCACCCTGCCTCAGACGTACCCAATCAGAAGCTGCACTTTAACAGGTCGCCAAGTGACTCCTACGCGCATTCAAGTTTGAGAAGCACTCCTCGGAGAGGCGATGTGCCCAGCAATAAAGGAAAGCGTTAAGACTCATTCCCTCCCTCACCTATCTAACTTACCCCTTTTATTAACCAGTATGTAGGACATCAGAAAGGGCGGCAGCAATATGAAGTGTGTGGAGAGAGGAAAGGAGATACCAAAGACAATCTGCCTCACATCCCTGAGCCGCTTATGTCCTGCTAGGAAGTTTTGCAAACTAAAACCCAGTGGACTGCTGGGAAGCCAAGAACATTACTTCAAAGTTCAGAAGCCTTTTTGACAAACCTGAATCTGAATTTGCAGGGGTGGAAGACAGAAACTGTGGATCAGCAACTTCCCCTCTGTGGCACGTGCTAATTTAAGAATGGTCCTCCCTTTTCCTTTGATCCTGTCGGATGATTGGCACATATTTCTCTTCTTGGGAGTGAAAGTGACTTGGTGGCACTTCTGGACCGATTGGAGAAGGCAGACCAACCTACCCTGGATGACATGGTGGCCCTCATCTCTCTGCCCCTGGGTGGGAGGGTGCCTGTATAATTCCTTGGAGAGGAGTAGGTGCCACAGAGGGCACAGCTGTCGGTCATAGTGCTGTCAGCATCTCTCAGGCACAGGCACAAGCAGTCCTGACCCTTGGGCACCCCAAACTCCAAGGCAACTCCAGCAGCTGAAGCCAAGATGCCTTTGTACATACCTCATCACCTTTTTGTTGATTTGTTAGGAAAAAAAAAAACTTCAAAAACAGCAACTGGAAGTTATGGGTCATGGTGGAAGGGCTTCAGTGGGGTGACAAGGACATCCACACCCAGCCTAAAGGAGATTTTCCTTCTCATTAACCACAGGGAAATAAAAGGAGACACCACTTTTCCCTTGGCTGAGCTAGCATATTACTAGTTCACCAGTCAGGTTCACTAGTATGAGAAAATCTTCAAAGGAGCACGACGTTAATGGAATTGTCACAAGTCCTCATACCATGCCTGAAAAATGTTGTCTGTGTGCTTACGTGTGGTTTGGGGTGACTTGGGAGTATTTGCTCATTTCTAGGCAAAACTGCCAGTTGTTTTGAGGTTTGGGGGTGCCTTGTAAATCAGGCAATGACAACTGAAATTGTCACTGCAATTGCTTTCAGAATTAAAAGTCACATTCAGGAGTTCCTTTGGCAAAAAGCATATTACCTAATCTGAAACAGCCTGGGCTCAGCAGTGGTCCCACGTGACCAGTGGCATGCGCTGGGTCCAAAGGGGAGCTCAGCAGTAATTCTGACAGTGGTCCCACATGACCAGGAACGGGAGCCCTGGGCTCTAGTTCCAGTGACACTACTGACCAGGGAGCCCTGGACTTCTTGGGCAGCCCTAACCATCTCACATCTGAGCTTCTCTGTGAATTAGAGGGATGGTCCTGGTCTCCTCGAAGGTCGCATGTGGGTCTTAAGACTCCAGATACCAGAGAGTTCTCAAATTTTAGTTGGTAATGTCAACATTAAATTAGCTGGAGGGGAAAGAGCATCTGAAACCAAAACTGTGGGAAAGAAACTCAGGCACGGTTGAAAAAGACATTCTTGTAGAGCGAGTATTTAACCTCCTCTCTGATCTGAAACATGCACAGCCGGCAGAAACCCTTCTGGAAGTTATTCCTGAGAGCAGATGGTAAATGTGGGCCGGGGAAGGGTGCCCTGTGTGCTCCCAGGTGCTCCTCCAGCCCACCCATATCCAGTTATCTTTTGAAAGCAATTAAACTGGGACCAGAAAACATCATGGACACATCAAAACTCAAGAAGGATGTGTGTGTGTGTGTGTGTGTGTGTGTGTGTGTGTATGTGTGTGCAGTGGAAGACAGGGAGCAGTATATTGTCACGGGGGAAAAAGTAACAACGCACGTTATCATTGATTAATTGTGTGATTTTAGTCAAGTGAATATTGATACATGGCAGGAAAAGCATGAAAGTAAAATGAACACATATGGGAATCACTATTAACATAAGTGATAACATCAAAACATCTGGTAAAATGCAGTTAAAAAAACAACACAAATGAAATGGAATGTAAAACATTTTCACAGTATTCAAAGCTTTTGTAAGAGATGTAGATTCTAAGAAAGGAGGGCCATGGGAAGGAACTAGAGGAAACAGGAATTTCATCTGTGTCCTATGTACCTGCTGATGAGATGTCGCAACGGCGAGTACATTATTCAGGGAGTTAGGGAAGGTGTGTTTCTAAGACAGATCATCTGAGCCCACCGCATCTATGGAGTTCCAACCAGAGCAGTTAGTTACTCGGAATCTGATGAGAAACACAGATTCTAGGTTTGGGCAAAAGGGTTTCTGTGTGTTACTGATCCAAGCGACAACCAGTGTTCGGATGGGATCCTGCCTTAGGGGGTCCTGGTGGGTAATGCGCCAGCAGCAAGAGCCAAGAGTTACACAGGATATCCTGAAAATAAAGTGTTCTTGGGATCCTCACTTCTCTTTTTGTCTTCCAAGATAACTACTGATATTCTTCAAAGGTTGAGCTTAGTTCTGCCAATGACCTCACAGGATTCTACGTAGAATGATTATCTGAAACCTCTGCACATATGACCTCTGCATTATCAATAATTGCCAAGTCACATACAGACAGCAGAGACCTATTGGAAACCAGTGGCCAGGCCAACGAGTCTGCACATAGATTGGGTTATATCCTTTGTTGAGAAAAACAAAGATTTTTGATAAAAACGCAGCACTAGGCCCATAGCCTCCCTCTGCACCCTGAAATTGCTGATGTATGCAGACAAAGCTGGTGGGCATCTCAAATCCCCAGCAAAACTCAAAGTCCTAGGACTCTTGAGGTTGGGGAAAACCTGCAGCTATACCTCACATTTCCATTTTATTTGGGGCTCTTTCTAAAAATGCCACTTTCTACCTGGCAATTCCCACTCAGAAAGGTGCAGCATGACCACCTATTCTTCCATAATCTTTCTGGGGTAGCTGCTAACATCCAACATAAAGCCCTCTCCTTAAGGCCTCTGCCTTGGACAGAGGGCCCTATTGCATGACAAGCTGTCAAAACGAGCAAGAGACATGTGATCACTGAACTCTTCAGTTAATCAACCAAAACTAAGATTCAGATCCATCAATTCATGAAATTGCTCTGAATTTCAGGTGACAACAGGAAAGTAGAATTATTTCTAATTAACTAATATATATATACACACTTTAAAAAAATTTTCCAAAATTACAGGCAAATCACACAAGGTCCCCCCCACACTTTGTGATTAAAGGTCAGAGATAACAAAAAAAAAATGTTAAAATGATGGGATCACTAATCATGAGAGGTTCATTATATCAGGATCTCCCTCAGGCAGGGAACAAAGTCCACAGGCTGATTTTCAGACTGCAGTCTTCAGACATTAAACCCCCACACTTTGTGATTAAAGGTCAGAGATAACAAAAAAAAAATGTTAAAATGATGGGATCACTAATCATGAGAGGTTCATTATATCAGGATCTCCCTCAGGCAGGGAACAAAGTCCACAGGCTGATTTTCAGACTGCAGTCTTCAGACATTAATAGAATGTCGCTCTGTTTCTCTGTCAGGTCAGCGCTACAGGGTAACACTTCCCGGTCTCACTGCAGCCTCCCGACTGGGTATAAACATTCGCCCAGAGGGGTGATTGCAGAAGTTCTCTAGATGTTACAGAGAATTAAGACTCTGGCTTGGGGGAGAAATTAACATTAATTGTTTAGAATGACTTCCTATACACTGAACAAGAGGTAATAAAGTTGCTTAAGTGAAGGGCTTTAGTTCAGCACTTACTAAACACAAGGCTTTGAGAACTATCTTAGAGCCTTTAGGAAAATCTGCAGACTTGTGCTGCCTTTTAAACTCTCTCCTTGGAAGGGGACACTTGTGGCTTGACTTTCCTTCTGCAGGAATGAAAACAAACACTTTTTTTTCAGTGCAGGAGGACAGACAGGTTGGCTCTTCTCAATTTCTTTGACCTATAGGAATCAAGCTTCAGGACACCCTGGTCTTAACACATCTTTCAAATATTCAATGTAGATTTTCAAAACCTGGAAAAGCAAACAGGGTTTTTGTTGTTCTCTTTAAAAAAAAAGGTGAACAGAGGAAATTAGAACACTCAGCTCTTCACCCAATCACAATTCACCCTGACTAGCAATTTGCCTGACTGTTCTAGATCTTTTCCTCTTTGTTTCTTCTTGAGGAGTTAGAATATTCTAGTTTCTTGAGCTATGTGTTTCAAAAACCACTAAGCATTGCCTTCTCAGTCTTAAAATCGTCTCTCTCCTGCCACTGGTTCGGTGGCCACAGTGCAGCCTTTTCCTCACACAGGCAGGCTGGTGCAGCCTCCACATATCTGGGGGGTGGATCAGCATAGAGGCCGATGCCAGCTGCTCAGGGCACCAGACACCAGCTGATTCAGAGGGAAGGACAATCACGTGGGAAGCCAGGGCGGGCATAACCTCCCTTTGTTCTGTGACACACTGTCTTTGCGGCTTTTCCCCCCTGCACCTCTACCTTTCTGGAATTGATCTTAAAAGTTGTAAACGTGGTGTGTGTGGGTGTGTGTGTGTGTTTCTGTCTAAAGCAGGTGGACAGAGAAATTCTCTGAAACGGAAAGCAAGGCCTCTTACCAGGAGTTATATATTCTAGTTTCAAAGGCAGAGATCAGCTGATAGATCCATAAGCAATTTTTAAGGACACAAAGAAATTTGCAGAACTTGGTTTTTGCCTAATTCCCTTTTCCTTAAACTGGCAACATTTTCTTTTTTAGTGAGTACGTCTCTGGCTGAAAACGGTTTCGCACCTCCTTTTACTAGTGACATGCTGGTCCACACAGTAGACTGAAAAGGCTTCCTAATCTAAATGGGGCTCCTCTTACCTGGGCGAGCGACTTTAAATATTGGCTACCTGGGCTCTGGAGCGCGGCTGGAGGGGAGGGGGCGGGAGCTGGGAGAGCGAAGCAAACCGGGTTACAGCGCCCCCTACCGGCAGCAGCAGGGCGTGCCAGCCGCCAGCTTCCAGGGACATGAGCTCAGCCCCGCTCGCGCCCCAGCCGGCCCCTGACCATCACTTAAAGACCGACTGGAAAGTGGGACACTCGTGATTTTTCATTTTCTTCATGAAGTTTTTGAATTCCCTGTTTTTCTTGTCCCACTTGTGGATGGCCGTCAGCAGGTATTGGCTCTTCACCTTGCGGCCCATGATGAGGAAGTGGTGGCTCAGGTCGTCCAGCTGGTGACAGGGGCAGTCGGCCCCATTCTTCAGGTACAGGACGAGCTTCTTCAGCTCCTTCTTCTTGATGGGCCCCAGCTTCAGGGGCTTCTTCTTCTTGGGGACGATCTTTTTGTCGCCATTTTCTTTCTTCACTTCTTTTATTTTCATCCTCAGGGCTAGAGAGGGTGAGGGCAGGGAGAGGAAGGGAGACAAGGGGAGAGAGCATTTTAGAACACAGCTTTTCGTCTTGAAGATAACCCGGGCTTCCCGCTGGAGGGAGGGCGCGAGGTGAGGCAGGGGGCAAGTCGGAGGAAGAGGTGGTCGTAAGGATGGGTCAAGGTCGTACCAAGGTCTAGGTCAGCCTTTCCATCCTGCTTCTGCCCCCTGCTTTGGTGAGGTCTAAGGGTATCTCTGACAGTCACCACAGAGTGCCCTGAGGATCTCAAATTAATTTGCAAAACTGAACCAAGTATCTTTTTTATTCTTTTAATTTTTTTTGGCAGTAGCTATTTTCTCCTTTTTTTTTCTTCCATGTCTCTTTACTGCAGCGACTCTGAACGTCATACCATGCTTTGAAAGAGACAAATCTGTACTCTAATAGAATGCATAATCTAATGCTAGAGACCTCAGCATCCAGAGGAAAAAACTTAACCCTGAGTTCCCTTTTAAAAACAGAAACTTACTGGTTTAGCTTTTTTAATATCCAAAGGACCTAAAACTCCTAGGCAGTTGGGTGCTGTAAACAAGACAGACAAAATCTCCATGTGCCCACCTGGCAAGGGGAAGTGAACGGGCACTTCAAATGGTCATGCTTGACAGCATCATACGTCAGTGTCCAACATGAGCACCGATGAATCAGAGTCCCTGCCTCATGCCTCCGGGAGCTCTGGCAGCAGGAACTGCTAATGTTCTGCACCACAAATCCACCACTAAGGAGGGCCACAAATGCTCTGTCCACGGTGTGGACCCACCCAGACCAAACTCTGTTGACCTCCAGACATATTAGCCTGTGAAGTCCTGGGAAAGTCCTGACAGATGAATCCAGGTGAGGATGTCCTCAGACCTAACGGGGGCTTCTGCTGCTCTCCACACAGCTCCCTGCAGAGAGGGAAGCCAGACCCTGAGTTATCACCTTTTTAATGTCAGTGTGTGGACCATGTACAAGAGTGATGGCTACGCAGGGTCTGCTGGTAAAGATAAGTCCATGTGTGGGCATTCAGTCAGTGTAAGCGTGCTAAAAACACACCGCCATTACAACCAATTCCCCTCCAAGACTGGCCATCCCCAGACACTGTCCAAAGGAGTGTCAAATCATTTTCTAGATGCTAGTGTAGGTGAACTCTATATGTTCAGAATTCTTCTGAACTCAAAACTACCAAGCCCCCTCTTGCAAATAACGCAAAGCTTCTACCCACACTCCAGGAGGAAAGGCTTGAGTCTGAACTAAAAAACAAGAGCTAACAATTATGAAAGCTTAAGGCATGCCAGGAAGCGGGCTAAGTATTTTCCGTGGATTTTCTCAATTAGACCTAACAAGTCCATGAGGCATAGGGGGTTAAGTTTGCTTGCCCAAAGTCACAGTCCTAATCGTAAACGCCTGTCTGAATGTGCACTTTCATCACCGTGCTGTCCACACTAACTCTACAGTTGGAAAATCCTTTACAATGAACCCAAAATTTAGAGTCCTGACTAAATGGCCTGGGAGAACAAAGGGAGGTGCTCAGCCTCTTCCCAGTCCCACCAACACGTCAGAATGACTTGGCTTAGGAAACAGAAATGACTTGGTTGGAAGAGCTCACTCTGACCACAGGAAAACTGTGTTGGTGAGGCTTTCGTATTTAGTATTAAGTTGATTAGAAAACACACCCTTGGCCAACCTAAGAATAAGGAGGAGGGGGAAAAGCCTAGGAACAAATCTTTAACGAATGTGTCAGTAAATTAAACACGCTCCCACTGCTTTCTCATTCTTACAAACAGAGCTCCAGCTCTGGCAGTCTACTTAACCCCGACAATCCCCAGGGCCTGGACCCTCTTAAGAAATGTCTCACTCCCAGGGGTGGTGGGGGGTTCAGGAGCTGGGCGCTAAGCAGCACAAAGCTCTCCCCTGGGGTTAACGCTGACCTCTCAGCTGGGCCTGGCTTCCTGCACACGGGGGAGGGAGCTGAGAACAGCTTCCCAGTGAGTTCCTTTCTTTAAACTCTCTGATCATGCTACGCACACTGTGGACAGTGTAATGGGGACCAGCAGGTGGAAGGGGCTGCCCACAGAAAGCAGCAGAGACCACCCTTCCAGGACCTCCCCCTGCCGAACAGGCGGCCACGCTGTAGCTTCCCTGGTCGGCTTGCAAACCTTGTAGCCGGTGGTTCACTTAGGAAAAGACTTTAGCCATCCCAGTCTGTGGCTCGCTGAATGAGAAAAGACTCCCTGAGGTTGAGTGAGGGACCAGCAAAAGGAGACCTGCTGCCAGGCCTAGGCAAAGTCAGGTCCCCATCCCTGCCTCCCCTCTGCAAAACAGAGCAAAGGGGACTGGGAGAAACCCCTGAGAGAGGCAGCAAACTGTGCTGCAGCAAGGCAAAGGCAGTAGGAACACTTCTGCTTCACAAGACCTCTGTGCAGTGGCCCCTCAGTATTCAATGACTCCCAAGCTACGTAAGGCTGGAACCAAGCGTTGCTCGAGGGGCTGTCCCTTACATCACCAGGACGCATGCCTGCCTCAGCTGACAAGGTGGAGGGAAAGAGAAAATCAGAATTAGACCCACACCTAACCCCCAGACCACACCCCTTCCTCCTATACCATGACCGCGCTTCAAATGATACTGGTTCAATGGAAACTATTTCACTCTTTTGATTGTGTTGCTTTTAATCACAACTCAAATCAAAAATTAATGTTCCTTTGCCATGACCGTGTAAAGGAATTTCGTTTACATAGGTGGGGGACAGCAAGGGGAAAGAGGAAATCAAATGATGGAAATGTGTTGTGCATTAGACTCTTTATTTCTTGCCATTGGCTCACTTTCTTTTTCGAGGTGGGGAGACTAAGGAGGAGGCACATATGGCCAGAAATTACTAACATCTTTCCATCTTTCAAGGGTTTATTTTAGAGATGCAGATTACCAACAATGTTTGGATAGGCGATTAGCTGTCCCAGGTTGATTTCCCTGTGCCTTGTGGATATGTGGACAACCCCCCACCCCGCCACACCCAGGGGCTTCTGGGACAGGGGTGGGAGCTGGCCCCGGAGGAGCCCGGGACTGAGCACCACTCCCCCTCCCCAGCCGGCCCCCACCATGCTGACGGTGCCTGGACCCCAGGGGTTTCACCCAGGGATGGTGCTCACAGCTGGCAATGCACATGGCGGTGGTGAGCAGACCAGAGAAGCTCCAGGAGGCAGCAGCTGGAGCAGCAGCTGGGCACGGGCTGGAGGGCTGGAGCCTGGCTTCTAATGCTGTGACTACAAAGCCTGCTTTTGAGCACCGAGTCCCAGTCTGCCATCCGTAAAGCGGAGAGTGCAGTCTGCCAGCTGGCTCAACGGTACCACCACCCAGGGGGCCTGGGCTGGGCAACACTGGGGAGCCAGCAAGCTCACCTCTAGCACCAGCCCCCACCCTGTTCTTCTGCTCCCCCATGGCCACGTGCCCTTCTCACCCTGCAGGACACTGCCAACCAGGCCCTGGATCTCAGCAACCTGTAACAGCTGGATCCTGAACTAATATAACCAGGCAATAAACAAAACACTTGTTTGGTTTTCTTAGCAACAAGTTAACATCCTCCAGGAGTAGAATATTACTCCCAGCAGCCACCTCACTGGTTCCTGCCAGCCAGAATTCAGAGACCCAGAAACTCTGAAAACTCAAAACTTAAGGTTGAATTAGGGGCTGCCTGGGTCTTTCTCAGCTATAGTCACCCCTATGTAGGCAGACCCTCAAAGTTTCACCCTACGTTCAGTCACCTAAGACTGTATGTTTTTTTGCTCATAAACTATACTTCCTCGGTAGTCACCCCAGAAGCTTAGCCATATTTCTGAGGCTGACATAAGAACAGGAAACTCATCACACCCATCCCAAACCCACACTCTTGTCAAAACCATCTTTTCCTCCTGACCTGCTTATACTCTCAGTACCACCATTCTCCCCATCGTGGGGACAGGGTGCATGGATGGAAGGCACCCACTGGCCGAGAGCCAGTCACTTATGCAGTCAATAACATGGAACTGCTGCAGGGGTGCAGGAAGGATCTGATGGGAAAGGTGGGAATGGGCAGAACTAGACACCAGATTTGTGACTCACCTGGTTACAGATAATAGAGTGAAGAGTAAAGTGCAGAGAAAAGAGACGAATGAGGGACCCTCAGGAGCACCTTCAGTGGGGTGAGAGGAAGGGGCAGCACCTTGCAAAAGTCACCGGAGGCACAGATGGAAAACCAGGCACCACGTGTCTCAGAAAGCAAAGGAGGGAGGTGCTCCAAGTGGAGGAAATGCTGCTCAATCCCGAGTGCTGCACAGTTCCACAATGAGCATGAGACCAGATCACTCAACCTGGCCATCAGGGGGTCTCCGATGACCTGGGAAGCCAGGATCAATGGGCCGAGGGAGATGCCAGAGTGCTAAAACCAATGGGAAGTGAAAAGGAAAGGTTTGCCATACTGACAATCACCCAGGTTCTGGAATGTTCCTAAAGAGTTACCACCAGTCACATCTAGCCAAACATAGCACATCGAGCTCACACAGTCATTTCCATTCCTTTCTGAACAGTTTAAAGTTATAGTTTTAAAAAGGTTATAAACACATGCAAGAATACAAGAACATACTGACATTCAGTATAATAGAAAGCAAATGGCTGGTGGAACCTGGCTTGACAAGAGTAAGAAAAGCTGAAACCTAACTGCTTACAGATAGGGGTGCCAGGAAGAAACAAGCCGATACACACTGCAGGACCCAGATATGCTCATGAATTGGGGCCATGAGGTGCTTCTGAACCCCATTACAGAGGTTGTATTAAATAGAGGAATGGGTAAAAAGTCTGTACAAGGCCACTCAGATCCACCAGCCCGGCCTGGGAAGCCAGGTGACTGCCCCTCCAACTCCAGCAGCAGCCAAGCAGTTTATTCTACACAGAAGATTTGAACCAGATGGACTGTGGGCTTAGGGACTCCAGACACACAGGAGGACCGGGTGTGG